TACAAACAATTATTTCAGCTAAGAAGTAGAATTATTTTAAGGAAATGATTTATTGATAGGAGTAAATGGAAGATAGACTTAAGTGACCCTCTTCTTCTCATAGGTTTAATTTGTCTAATTCAAAGCCAGCTTAAAAGAAGATCATGATCAAAAGTCTTCCTATTTTGGCAAACTAAAATGCAGAAATTATTTAAATGGATCTTTTGATCATGAAAACACTAATTAATAATGAGTTAGCATTAGTGAGTATTCCCACTAACAGGGAAGAACAAAAACACACTGAAGCTGAAAAATGCATGACAATTAAATGAGTCTTATAACATCTACTCAGTTTAATTCAACTTTTTACTAAGTTGTGCTACACTGCATTAAATACTGTGTTTAAGTGATGTATTTTTTACTAATTTGGTTGTAAGGTTTTGTGTACAAAGCATAATATTAAATAGAGGTAAATATGAGAACTGCAATGAGGAGTCACTCACTCTGATCTAGGAGTGATATATTTACACAGCTTGTAGCATCTGGAAATCCGTACCCCTGGGTTGTTTGCAGGCTGGTGTAGAATAACACTTGTAATCTCATACCAGTGTGGGGTTGGACTGTGACCCCATCAGAATAATGTCTTATTCATACCTTTGTTGGTAATCTTAGTGAAGGATGTGTATCTCAATAGGAATAGGGTTGGATTTGTATCTGCTCTCTGGAGCTTCCAGACCTGTAGCTGCTTTTGGGTAGAGGGAGGCTGGCCTGTGGGAGCTAACAAAACTCTTCTTAGGAGTATGTGTTCAGGATTGCAGTCTCCTCTATTGTCATTCCATGATCATTACCTGTTTTTTGGTTTTTTTTTTTGTTTTTTCCTTTTTAAATGCACATAGTTAATTTATTGAACTAAATGCATGTAAGTCCCTTCCCTTCACCAAGTATTTATGGATATACACAAGAGCAGGGTCTGTTTCAGAGTCCTTACTATTAGGCAGAGAGGAAATATGCCTGTATTTGACACAACACTTCCCACTGCTAACCTGAAGCGTGAAAGAAGAGATGGGAAATCCTGTGATGCATCTCTTGAGGATCTGTCTGATCATGTTCACAACTGGTGTGCCAGAGCGACCTTCTGCTCACCCTGGGTCAGAGTATTTCCTTTAATGGCTTCTGTTCCACTGGCCATGATCCTGTTTGGCATTGTAGGGTATTTCAGAACATGGATTTCTTTTTAGAGACATGAAACATCTTTGGGCTCTTAGTTTTAAGTAGAGACTGTTGTAAGTAGAAATGGATGCAAATGTAGCTGGTTCTGAAAAATAGCATTTGTGTTTTCAAATGAAGTGGCATTGTGTGGTGTTCAAAACTCTTACAATCACTTTCTGTGAGTATCTGTGCAATTGGGATTTACTAACAAAACTGAGGTGGAAAGGAATTTTTAAGCATGAATATCAAATCACAGAGTACATCTTCAGCTGAAAAGAAAACAGCTGGTAGTGTAAAGATATCATAACAATGCCTTTACAAGTGCTGATGCTGGCATATGGCCAGAAGCCTTGGGTGCCACCAAAGGTTTTATTAATCCTTTGGAGCTATTGGCAGGTAGCATAGTTCAAGACATCCCTTAAGATTTGAAGCTCTGTGCATGAGTAACAAAGAGGAGTTTAGCTGCTGCAGTTTGCAGCAGATGTGACCTGTTGTGGGATGCCCTATGTCATTGGAAATGCAAAGATGCACTGAAGTTAACTTGGATTGCTCGCTTCTCAGCATACTAAATGCCTCTCTAAAGTATTTCAGAATCTGAGCAATAAAGTAATTTAAATCCAGAAAGGAAGATAATAAAATAATAGATGATAGAAAAAACCTCTATATACTATCGACTGTTCCAGAGAACATGAAAGACTTTATCAAATACCTCTTACAGTAGAATTCATTTGTGTTACCAGAGGGAACAATTGTGATCCTCACATCTACACAATAATAAAATCTGAAAATGTTTCTCCCCCTTCTCAGATCCTCAATATTTTGATGCTGAAGCTTGCCCTAAACTGATCAACATTACTCTTAAGTTTATTCTCCTGCCTATCTCCATGATCATTCCTACTCCTGTCTACTGCTTGTCTGTCATTCCACTGATTCCTGTTCGGTCAAGCCCAGATACCAAGGGAAAATCCTATGTAGACCACCTGCTGCAGGAATAAGGAAAATTTTGTCCAACATTGACTCTCAACATGTAGGACTTGCTCCAGGCTGGCTTTCCTCCTTGCCTTTCCACCTAGTGCTTGAAATAAAAATTAGGCATAAAAGTCTCAAAAGATTTGAGTAACCTCAGTCTCTTTATTTACCTGAGTTTGTGGTTTTAATGTTAGAGCTTCAGGGCAGCCAGTGACATGAATGTTTGACCTCTCAATCTCAAAAATAAACTGTTCCTTAGCCGTTTAAAAAGAAAGGCTAGTGGAAAAAAAAAAGCAAATGCAAAATTCAAGTTAGAAATGCAATGAAAATCTGTTGATTCTGATTCTGGAAATGCTTTGCAATTTACTGCCCCGTTTAGCCTATAAATCTATTCACTGAAGCTAGTTACTACCCAATAGCTAAATAGTTAACAACAGCCACATACAACACTGAGTTGTGTTCTTACCTTTTTAGGCTTAGGTCTCTGCCTTAGAGTAAAACCTTGTCCATGTAAGGGCAAACCAGAACTTTAGATCACAGCAGAGCCGTTCAGCTGCACTGGCAAAACAGCTGATGGACAACGTTAAAACTATAGCCCAGCTCTAGGATTTGCTTTGCATTTCCATTGAATTCACCATTTTAGTATCAAAAGTGTACAAAGTTTTCTTAGATCTGAAAACAGGTCTAAGACTTCTATTGCAAGAATGCTAAATGAAGTATTAGTAACATCTTGGTAGTTTTCCACATGGAATCAAGTCGGCAGCTTCAGTGAAGAAGGACGCGGTTTGGTGCAGCTATGTTGAATTCCCCAGGCCATATAAATTAGCAGGAGGGCTACTAAGATTAAGTTCCTGCTATTTACAGTTTTGAGTTAGAGAAAGAAAAGAGAGGATGTTTTTCCACTGCTGAGAGGAAAAAACCCAAACAGATATGGGTTTCAAGACCTAGTGGGGAAGGTCTAAACTTGTGGAGGTTTTTGAATACCACTAAGGAATAAGCTTCTCTATTTCCATGACCTACTGTACATCAACTCAGAAGAGCAAAGTTGTACTAGGTGTCTTCTGCTCTGGCACATGCCTAAGTGCTCTATCTTCACTATTTCTCAAGTAATATCCTACTGCCTTCAAAATTTGAAATGCAACAAAGCAACAGTCTTCCAAGAGGCAATTGTCTGCATGCCATTCTGTGTAGGTTTATTAAACTAGATGCAGACACGTACATCAAGTTCAGGGAATTCTTTTCTGCAGCTAAATTGGTGTGTTTCCAGCAAGGGCTAAGGATTTGAAGCTGGAGAATGAAGGCCATAAGCCTGTTTGTTAATGCAGTTTCACAGTGAAGGTGTTAGAATTAGCAGAGAAAGAAAGGACGAGAGAAAATTGTGGAAAAGCTTCATCTATCTCCTTATTGCCTCCTGAGATAGATTGTTCAGAGCTAAAGGAACACTAGACATGAACCAAATCTCCTGCTGTCCTATATAGCTTTTACAATCTCCTTTTTAATAACCCAGACTGCAGGGTAGTCTGACTGTTAGGCAAGCCGTTCTTTGAATTCTCTCTACAATGTGTATGGACGTGATAAAAAAACAATTCTCATTAAAGCTGCCAATGCTGTTTCAAAAGCAGGTGGTTTAAAATGTTTCCTATACAAAGCAAAACACATTTCTTGTGTATTACACAGTGCTTAATAGGGACTGTAAGATTATGCTGCTATGTTGTGTGTAACGCTGCATCTTAAATAATAGGATATTGTAAATTGTGTTGGAAATATGTTTAACATGAATATGGAAGATATAATGATATGTGCTGAGCAATTTTCAGAAGTGCTGGAACACAGCCTTGTGTGACAACCTCTGAGCTAAAGTAGTTGAAAATAAGATCTGGAATTTGAGATTATGCAGTCTCTGATCCTAACTGATTATTCTTCTAGGATATTGTTCAGTCAGCATGTGGGTATATGAAAGATAAGATTTCTACTGTCCTATGGGAATGTTTATAATTTATGTTATATAAATTAAGGATGGTAGGGATGGAGTTCATTCATCATGAATTTTCGTTTTTTCACTAAAGTCAGAGGTTTATAAGGAAGGCAGGGTTGATCTGAAGTAAAAATTGTGACCTACAGCTCCATCTCCAAACTGGCTGTTCATATCTTTTTCCAAATCAGTTTGGAAAAAAAACCCCACTGAGGTCCAGTTATACTTGTAGGTGTTTTTCGTCAGAAATTTGTGGAATAAGAAAACCATATAAAGTATGGTAATTCAGGTTATCATGAAGAAGCACAGCAATTCCTGTTATCCTTACAAGTATATTCCAATTTCATCCATGTTTTAATCAGAAGTTGTATTTTAAAATTAACATAAAAAGTGTATATATATATAAAATATTCTTTCAGTGAAATAAAATGCATTTGAGTCTTCAGTATGCCTATCTGTCTTAATTTCACTATCTTCTGCTCTAAGAAATAATTACTTCCATTTTGATAAATCAACGTGCAAACAAGGTGAAAATTTATTATGGGCTGATTAAGTTAAATAAAATATTAACATAAATGCTTATGTATTGCAGCAAATTGGTTTTTCTTTAAAAGTTGAGTTTTAAAAATGTATTCTATGTGAGTCCTGTTTCTTCTGAGAAATCTCTATAAACTCAACAGGTGACATGAGAGATAATCCAGTAATCAGTGTTTCACCCACCATTTCATGGACCCATAAACTGCTGCAATTTTGCTTACATGACTCCAGCAAATATTAATGTATGTAAATAACTTGTGAAACATCTAGTTATCACTCTGCTCATATTAGCTCTTTCATACTAATGATTTATTTTCATTTTCTCCAGGATATAGACCTGCGGCTAACTGGATTTGATTTATAAGAGGGGATTCTGCAGTAAATGGCTGCTCTCTTCATATTGCTGCTATGGAAAACAGAATTGTCAATAGGATGTAGTCTGATAAATAGTGCTGAGTGAAGATGCAGCTTCAATAAGTGTGAAATCAATGGAAGATACTTACCGCATGAAAAGCCTTTTGAGATTTTTCTGACAGGCACCTATTTAGGAAACTCGATCTGTTTCCTTCGGTTGCTCTGTTTTTACACCAGTGGATACAAATCAGATTGCTTCATTGTAGTTACACAGCTAATGTGGGACCATGGCCTTTCCAAGATCCATGTGGCTGAACTGTGTATGGCGAGCGATGATAGTCCACCTGTTACACATGGGATTGAATGCCACTTTTGCTTTTTGTATACTTGGATTTTTGCTTCACGCTGCAGCTGTGTCCTCCCAAAAATTGGATGATACCAACCCAGTGGTGACCACCAACTTTGGCAAGATAAGAGGGATTAAGAAGGAACTTAATAATGAAATTTTGGGGCCTGTTATTCAGTTTCTCGGGGTTCCGTACGCTGCCCCTCCAACTGGGGAGCGCCGCTTTCAACCTCCTGAGCCTCCGTCTCCCTGGGCAGATATCAAAAATACCACTCAGTTCGCTCCAGTGTGCCCCCAGAACATTATAGAAGGCAGGTTGCCTGAAGTCATGCTTCCCGTGTGGTTTACTAATAACTTGGATGTAGTTTCCACCTATGTACAAGATCAGAATGAAGACTGCCTCTATTTAAATATCTATGTCCCAACCGAGGATGGTGAGTTAATAGCAGGCAAAACAGGGAGATCTTTTTATTTTCCTGTTCTACGTTCTAACAATAGTAATTCATGTGTACTGGTAGCATGCATGGCTTTCTTTGTTTGGATGCCAGCATATTACATGTATGCATGCTGCTTTTCTGTGTATGCATCTCTCCTTGGTTTGTTGTTTTGTTTGCTTTTGGGTTTTTTCTTTCCTTTCTGTCTACACTCATGTTTTTCCTTCCACAGCACGCATACTTTTAGGTCAAAGTCGGTACCTAATTCTCATTGCCACCACTGACTTCTGGGAAGATGCATCAACATCTTATCCATTGCATGTGCAGGCACAATAAATTGAGAATCTTCCGCACCTAATAAAGCAGGTCATATTTAAGTTAGATAGTGGTGTTGCATGCTCCTACTGTCTGTGATGGAGCTCCATGTTATTTTCTAGTCTTCTATTCATTTTTCAGTCAAAAGAATATCCAAGGAATGTGCCAGAAAACCCGGCAAGAAAATTTGTAGAAAAGGAGGTATGTATAAAGTGGACAAAAAAAAATATGGGGGAAGGATCGAAACCTTGCAAAGGAAGAACAAATAATACAGCTGAAAGAGGCTGATTTGCTGATGCTGTGAATTGATCTGTTAGGGACTGTCTTGTCCTGATGAAGCCAGAAAGGTATTTAAAGAGAGGACCATACAGATCAGAAGAGAACGTTTGTAAAGCCTGAACTCAGTGGCACTGACTCGTCTCTCTTGTGCTATGCTATCTCATGCTGACCTTCTTGGCAGCTCCTCTGTCTTCGCCTCCTGGTTCAGAGGAGTTTCTGTCACTCGTATGTAGATAGAGTATGTTGTGTATGCATGCATAGGAGGTAGCTGATGCGCCTGGGGCCAGGTACTATTGAAGTTGCTGGCACTGTTCCACAGCTCTGTATTCCAGTGGCGTATCAGAATGGTTATGATGTATTATAGCAAAGCAGAGCTGAAAATCTGGATTGACTTTCTGTGTGATACACCCTGTTTTCTTGGATTAGTGTTAACTTTCCTGAAATGTAGATGTGAAACACTTTTTCATTTATGTGCTTTTAAAAGTGAGTGCTGGTTTCCTTTATTGCGTGCTTACAGCTCTCTTTGTAAAGCCGAAAATCTCTTAACAGTGGTGTA